GAGAAGTCATAATGTCCTGGAAGTATTGTACAGCGTAGTCACACATCTTGGTTGAGGTGGTGGCTGGTCTTGCTTCGGGAATGAAGGGGTGGTGAAGTTGTTTTATTGCCCGTGCCACTCTTTTTGGCAGTAGGCGTTGGAAGGATTTCTTGGTCATTTTCTCGTAGACTGCAATTCCTTTAATTGTTAGTCTCTCAGCCCACTCATCTAATGCAGCCTATTGCAAATTATCCCAATCCGTTAGTAACTTCGATCGTTCCCCTGCCTAGGATATCGATGAGACAAGGTGCAATTTCTTCATATTCTCCACCCATTCCAGATACCGCAATATATGACTTTCCTCGTTATTTTTCATTGCAGCCAGGATCAGTGAGACGATATTGAGAAGACCATACGCCATGCAGGTGCTTACATCCCACCAGTCCCCCAATGGCTCGAAGTGTTGTTTCGCATCTGACCATTTGCCAAAAAAAATATTGATCGAGACTGAGAGGCTCTGGTCTTTCAGGTTCCGGGTATTCAACCTAAAGTAACCTTTGCCCTTACCTTCACTGTGTGCAATATGAAATATTGCCTTTATAGGGTAATGGTCTGATAAGGGGTGCTTGAACACTTTCACGTCTAACAACGCATCCCACGAGGATGGGCTAAGGAGGAGCGCATCGAGCCTCCTGAATGTGTCTAAATTCCCTCATTCCGAGGATGCACAGCACCATGTTAAGCCTGGGTCTAGGGGGTGCATCAGTCTAAATGCATCACACAAATCTAGGTCCAGCATGTAGTCCGTGAGTGCCAATGTCGCAGTGTGTCCGCGGGTCCAGCCGAGGGTGTGAAGATACCATCAAGCGAACAGTTCCAGTCCCCTACTAGTGCTAACAGATTGTCCACACTTGTATGGGAGATTAAGTCCTCAAAGAACAGCCTGCGATCAGATCTGTGTACTAGAGCATAAACATTCATAATTGTCCACTCTTTCTCCTCCAACCAGAATTTTACCCAGGCCCAACATCCCCATAGGTCTGCGGCAGCGTCGATGATTTCTATGGGGGTGTCCTTATGAATTAGAATGCCCAATCCCTCTCTGGTTTCTACTGTTGGAGACCAAATTTATGGCTCGTCCCACCAATTGCCCAGTTCCAGCAACTTTCTGTCATCCTATTTGCTCTTTTGTACAATGATGAAGTGAATGCGGTGTCTGTGTAACCAAGTTTTTAATCTTGTTTCTTTCTTCCTTTTCGTTGTATCTCCCAAACTCCTTGTGTTCCAAATAGCAATTGTTAGATTATCCATCTAACCGTAAGTCCTGCACCCTGGATTGGATGTGGAGGGTCGCGGTCGTGATTGGGGCGGGTCAAGGTTGAGAGCCTCTTGATCTGCCCGATGCCCCCGAGGCTGATGTGGATGACCACTTCTGAGAAAGCAGGTTTTTCAAGTACAGGGAATCTAGCCTTTTGTTCTTTGGAAGTTTGTCTTTCAACTTGGAGAGAAAGCTCGCATCCGCTACCTGTTGCACCGCCATGAGTTGCAAGGAACCCAAGTTCTCCTCAATGAATATGGAGAGGGGGATTAGCCTCATCCCAGCCTGAAGGAAGGAATCAAGGCGGTTGGTCGGGACACACGCATCGAGAATCGGAACAAACACTTTGACGTTGTGTCCCAGAATGTTCGGGTAGAATCTTGGCATAGACATATCAGGAACCAATCTGATTGGGAACTGGTCCGAGAAGATTTGTCGTGCCAGAGGGAGGATCACATGTGGTGTAACATGTTCTTCCACCTGATGCGTCAGGAAGGAGACCTTGGAATTCTCTGATTACCAGGTGATGATGTGGATGGTTCCATTAACGATAAAATATATAAATGGCATGAGTCATTTCTCCAATTTTGTGTGCGTATTCCTATGTGATGAGACCATCCTTCTACTGCAGGACGTTTTGGCTACGAGCTGCGGTAAGGCCGTGTCATTTTCAGATCTAACGGACGGTGAGGATTCAATAACACTAGTGCTTGAAGCCTGGGAGTTTTCCTGTTGCAGTGTGCCATTGCCTGAAGTCTGTCTGTGAATCCGACTGCTGCTGGTTCCATACCTTGTGACTCTGGGCATTTTCAGGGGAGATCGTCCCCTGACACTTGTGGTGAATGGGACCAAAGTCGAGGATGGGTTGGGGTCACCTCCTATGGAACTTATGTAACTTGTTGGCGAAGGGTGCCCTACCGACAAGAGGGCTACTAACTGATGCGGGACGTGCCTGTGATCGCCTTTTGTTCCTGGGGGAGGGGTTCCTCGTTATAGAGGGTTGCGACTTGTAAAAAACCGTTCATGAGGGGTCTTGGACGATCTTCTTGGTCATCCATTCGATGCACCGTGACATGTGTCCCTGCAACAGGTTCGGTGAGATTATGGGTTCCTCTTTGGTTTCCTGAGGGTGAAAAAACAGGATTGATTCGTCCAAAATGCCTATTTGCTTCAAGGGTCCTCTGCAAGGCGTCTGCATCCCCTTGGGCCATCGAGTGGTGAGACTGACTGGGTGAAACTGAGCTTCTGCTTCTGGACGGGTCGAGGCTACCTCGATAGCGGGGCATCCCTCGTCTGCTTCTGGTCCTTCCCTGTGCATGTGATTGCTGGGAGGAATCATCCTCAAAAGAGATGGTCTGGTCGGGTCTAGGGGCTCGAGAACTTCAACCTCGGTTATTTATTCCTTCGTTGCCACCCCTCGTGCACGTGTCGATTGTATGACAGGACCATCGACATCTGGTGTTGTAGGGTGTAGAGGAGGTAGCGAGTTTAACCTCCATGATGTCCCCTTGCTTGGAACGGACCCAAATCCTATCCACGAATTTATACTTGGTTTCAGGATCGAGATCAAACCTGACATTCCCCAATCTCGGGTTCGACCCACACTAATGTGGAGGGTGCATGTGTGCTACACGCCCAATAACTTTGTTAAGAGAGGTGCGAACATACACCAAAGCATCAAGCGGGATTTGGATGGCAACAACTACCCAGAAAGAGTTTTCCATTTCGACTCTCCTGATTTTTTTCCAATCGACCTTCGTCATCTAGGGTTTCATCTCGAAGGCATACCTCATATTTCGTAGCAGGCCAGAACCTTCACCTCGTTAACCATCCAATCAGCTACCGCTTTACCCCTAGAAACATACGAGGTGACATTCGGTCCCTTGAATTTAACACGACCTCTCCCAACCGAGGTATTGAAGATATTGTCTCTGCGCCATCCGTTTTCGTATGTTCGGACAATGTCCTCCTTCACCGCGGGGGAGTTTCCGTGCAGCGTCTCTAAAAATGATAAGTACCGTGCGTTCCATTAACCACCTGATTTTGATCTCATCGAACTCATTACCACTGCTTCATTACCTTCGATTACCACATCCTCCAATGGGAGTTCATCAGGGAGCATACCCTCGTCATAATACATTGACAACAGCAGGCGGGTTTTCTCTTCGAAGAGTTTTCCGGGTCACCTGGAGGGGAGCAACCGCCTTGGGAGGCAAGCTCTTCCATTTCCAGTTCTACTGGAGCCAAGCCTGTCATGGCTGATGTACCTAGTTACCCAGGATGGCGTGATCCGCCGAGCGTGCTATTTGCAAGGCTGTGAATGCCGACTCGACGCTGGAATCGAAAAATGAAAAATCGACAAGTCGAAAATTCGAGAAGTTGAGATGTATGGCTGTACGGTAGGAGGTAGGTGGCGGGACCACTACCTGTGCTCCGAATGGCAATGCCCAAGGCGGCGCCAACGGAGGTGTTCGGGCGTGAACCGTATCCTACTGTAGGCGGGGAATATCATGAGAGTCCAACCTGTCCTCCTGCTTGGGAGTGGGTGAAGCGTTGAACTTAGGAATACAGTACGAGATGACTACCTCCTAACCACGAGGTGTTAGTGTACATGAGAACATAATAAACCATACCACATATCTCGGGAGGGAGGGAGGGGAGGGGGGGAATGGGGCAACTTGTTGAACTCCTAGTTTCCTACAAAACCATTATAAATCATTGTACATACTCTGACTAATCCCATTTTCCATCATCTAGGACTCAATTCGCTAGAACGTAGAAGCAATCCCAATACTCCGTGTGTACTATCCTACCATCGAGGTAACATGTTGAACAGGCTTTGCAAAACAGGAATCTTGCGAGGTAACATCCATCGAAGAGGTTTCTCTATAATAATAGTACTGGGTGAAGGGTTACCTAACGAAGAATGAGAGTTAGTTGACGATGCCAACTAGATGTTGGGTAACAGGCGATCGAGGAGACAAACTTTACAAACGATGGAACCTTCATCCTGGCTTGGGAGTGTCTTGGAGGAGCGTGCCGGCGACCTTCGATAGCGGTCTACGGATACAATAACTGGAGCATCGATCGGCTTCCTGGTGAATAACCCTAGAAATTTCCTGGGCGGCAACGATTGCCGTCTGGTGAACAGGGACGTGAGGGAGAGGAACTCCCATCCGCCGGAAACAGTTTCGGCGTGTCCCGTTCACTGTGGTGAATTCGCACTGTGGTAGCGCGGCACCACCTGATGGGCTGGCCCGGCGGCATTGGACGATGCTGGCCAGCAACACAGGACCTCAAGCGCAAAACAGCGCTTGACAGTGGCGTTCCCTTCCCCGGCCTCCTCCCATCTGCTTCCCCCAACACTCTCCCACACCCCACACACAACCCAATCACGCTCACACTCACACCCGTGTTGGTCATAGACCCTACTAATACCGACCAGGGGTATCAAGCAGAGTATCGCAGTTGGTTGGGACCAAGTGCGCCGCAGGAGGTCTGTTCTGCATGGTTCTGTGGAAGAACACCCAAAAGCGGAAAAAGCATCGGGCTACAAAGAATGCCAGAGCAGACCAGCCAAATTGACGCAACAAGAGGAAAAGGAAACCGGGTGGGGGTCTGAAGGACCATCGGCAGCGGTTAAGACCAGCCTCGGTGTCTGTGGGGGTCTGAAGGTCGACTGTAGCGGTTAAGACCGGTGCGACTGGGCTCGGTGAGTGGTGTGTTGTGTTGAGGCCCTTGGAACAATGCGAGTTCATGTCCGAGCAGAAGTTGGGAAAAAACACACCCGTTGCCATGAATAGTACCTGATGAATCTAACCACCTTCTGCAGGACGATGCACTGGCCCAAAGTGGAGGGGAGACTGGATTTCGAAATTTTCGCGTCTGACAGGCTCTCGAAGGACTCCCTACCTACTAGAGTCGTCTCCCTCGAGTCCTTCCAGAATCCCGCCGTCAGAAGCAAGCGGAGCCACGGCGGCAAAATCGCCATTTTCCCCGCCATTTTTTGGGAGTCTGACAGCGCGACAATTTTTCGAGTGTCGAGAGTAGCGGAGCGAGATTCAATATTTGTTGGTTTTGGGAGCGGTGTAGTGTGGCGTTTACCCTGTACTTGCATTTTCTCGGTTTCGTCTTTTCTGGCAGCAGGATGTTGACGATGAATTTTGGAAGTGGAGATGGCCGTTGCTTCTTCTTTGTCTGTTCTCTCTCTCCCAATAATGGCGCTGACTGGTGGATGTTGAAACGGAGGTGGCCGTTGTTTCTTTGTCTCCCGTCTCTCTGCCAATAGTGGTGCTCAAGACTGGCGGTAGGGTTTGGGATCCTCGGAGGACGCATTTGAAACTCCTTCCCGTTTTCAGCTCCTTCGTCTGCATGCGCAGGAAAAGGATTTGAGCGGGGGGAGTTCAGTTGCTGGCTGTTCCATCCGTGTAGTGTTACGGCTTCAGGCATTCTTTCGAGGAGATGGCTCTTGTGATGTCTCCTGCTCGTTCCGTCAACTCTCCCATGTCCGGGGAGAAGGCGGTGGAGGTTGAGCGGACCAGAGGCTGTGTCGGTATTCCCGAGACGACACCGTGCGGCAGCAGCGCTTCTGGAGGCGGAGGGAGGCGATCGAAGCCCGCAAGCTCAAGCCAGAGCCCTGTTTCACCTGCCAAGTCGCCTAAGCAGCAAATCTGGAGACAGAAGAGGAGTCCCGGATCGGACGGCAATTCCACATCAGCAGCGAGTTCATCTAATGGCCTGTCAGCAGCACGCCTGTCGTCCCCACCGTCATCATCTGTTGTCGATGAAGACAAATCAGGAGCGAGTCCCTCTGCGGTGACTACTCCCCCCTCTCGCAAGGGAGGGAGGAAGAAGAATAATGGGCCCGTTCGTGCTCTGGATATGGACGGTAGTCTCGACGAGCGTGCGGTTGCAGTGCCCGTAACCAAGGATGCGCAAGTGCAAAACAAGGCGTCGAGATCGGCTCCCTCGAAGCGCGCTGAAGATGCAAGCGATGTCAGAAGCAATGGCATGATTGGTGTAAGCAAGCACAGACCATCTCGGGGCCAGGAAAATGCTCCGTCGATGTGCTCTGCTGGGTCCATTCCTGCTGCAGGAGAAGATGGTTGGCTTGGGGGGAAAGAAGAGAGTCATGTGGCGTCAGGAGGTGGTGATGATGGGGCATTGTCTTCAGTGAGGCGGAGCGAGATGGGTGAAAAGGAGGATAAAGCCAAGTTGGCGTGGCGAGCCAGAGCGCCGTCCTCTGCCGAAGCTTGTTGCAAGGGGAGCATGGATGGTCGAGGCGACTCAGCGGAAGGTATGTTGACGCCTCCTTCCCTTAAGCTTGCGGGAAGCGATGGTTCTGGACAGCGGCGGACGGGCATTGACACTTCTTCCACCTCCCAGGACGGTGGGAGCGGCGGCAACGGAGGCCCGCTCGTGAACAAGATTAAGGCAGTGGCTCGGGGTCATCGAAGGAGTGTGAGCAGTAGTAGTGCTGCGGATCTTCGGGATTTTTTCGCAGCCCCGTCTCCGAGGGAGTGGTCATCGGACGAGCGGTCTCGTGATAGCCGTGAGAAGATGGGAGTTGCTCAACAGAGGCAGTCGATCGCACGGCAACAACCACTGCAACTACAGCAGCATAATATCATGCGGGAGCCGCCGTTGGAAGAGCCAAAGCAGAAAAGTGTGTCTCGTTTCCATCCGATCAACTCTTCCGCGCTCAGCGATGGCGGTAAGAACGCCATGCTGCCGAACGCGTCCGCGACTGCTTCTGTCGGAGCAAACGGGCGCGGAGTAGGAGGTGGAGTGGGTGACGCCGATCCATGCGAGGGACAGAAAGGTGATTGGAGAAGTGGGAAGGGGCAACACCAACTCCTATTGCAGCAGCGGCGGGGGGGATCTCGGCACGCGCGTTCTGCGACATGGGATGGCCAAAATCTGAGTCCTCATTTGATGGAGATCGCCGGTGGTGGCAGCTGGCGGAGCAATTCTCCTCAACTGCGACCCAATTGGGAGTCCGGAGGTCGGGAGGCTTCTGCCTTGGACTCTGAGGGGGGAAGAGCGAATCTGGCGGGCATGACTTCACGGAGCCTCGCAGCTGGCTTTGAAAGTGCGCGGGGTAGCCCTCGTGGCAGCCCTCGTGACAGCCCTCTTGTCAGCCCTCTTGTCAGCCCTCTTGTCAGCCCTCGTGTCAGCCCTCGTGTCAGCCCTCGTGTCAGTCCTCATGCAAGCCCACGTGGCAGCCCTCGCGCTCCTGACAACCCTCGCTTTCTCGACGGGCCGCGCACTCGTGATAATCCGCGTGACAGCGCGCTCGCGCAAGGGACACAGAACGAGTATCGAAGGCAGCGAGGGCATTTCAGGAACCTCAGTTGGACGCAAGATTCTCTCGATCACGGAGTCAACTTCCTTCCGCAGAAGCCGTTGCAGCATGAGCGAGGGGGTTACCAGCACAGGCGAATGGGATGGGGTCAGGAGAGCAACTGGCAGCGGGAGCAGGGGAGTTATCTGAAGGAAAATCGCCGCAGCGAAAGCGGGACATCGACGTGGCGAGGAGATTCGACGGTGACTCCGTCGTCTTCTGTTTCCTCTTTTTCATCCTTGTCCTCTGACAAAGCTTTGAAGAAGGAATACGGTGCGAGAGGAGAGTGCTTCAGTGCTGAGCAGCAGCAGCAGCAGCAGCAGGAGGGAGAGGAGGAGATTAACAAGTGTGGGCAGACGGAAGAAGCAATGCTCGCCGAGGTCGACGGCGCCACTGCTACGAACAACGTTCGTCTTGAAGAGCGGCGAGGGAGGTCTCCCTGGCGGAAGCTAGAGAACAGTCTGCGAAATGAGGCTGGTCTTGTCGATGGAGAGACGTCGGAAAAGAGGGGAGAGCCACCGGAGAGCGAGCGGCAGGTCCCTCCTTGGGCAGCGGGGAAAGGAGGTGCACCGCCTGCGGGGGAGAGCTTTGCCAGGCTGAGACGGGCAAGGGCAAGGAGCGACTCCTTCGCCTGGGCCGACGGGTCGTGGAACAGGGGTGACGACTCCAGCAACTGGCGCCAGCAGAGCAGGGAGGACGGTGGGGAAGAAGACAGCGCGAACCGTCGGAGTAGGAGCCGAAATACGAGCGCAGAAAGAGATGAAGAAAGAGAGAGGAGGGATGGAACACGTAACTACGACAAGAGCAGTAGCGGCGGCGGAGATAAGAAAGGTTACAGAGGTCGGAGCATTAGCAGGGATGCAAATCATAACGAACGTTTTGAGAGGCGTCAGCAACTTCACGCTGGTTCTCTGGCTGCGAACGGGATCGAGCGGGAAGGGGAATGGTGGACTGCGGCTCGAAAGAAGCCGATCGTAGGGTCGCCATCCTCGCCGTTGAGGTCGCCAGGCAAGAACCAGAAGCTCTCTGGGCAGTTGTTGGCATTCAGTAGGACGGTAGTGCCACAGCTGGTGCAGGAACTGGAAGACAAGTTGGTGTGTGGACTCGTCGAGTGTGTCATTTGCTGCGATTCGGTGACGCGGCGCACGCCGGTCTGGTCGTGCAACAGCTGCTATGCAATCGGGCACCTGTCGTGCATCAAGAAGTGGGCCCGGATCCCGATTCCGCCGTTGTTAAGCACCTGTTGTTTGGCGCGCACTGCCGCCGTGTCTGAGATGCTTGAAGAAGGTGACTACACTCCTCCGCGAACGTTGGCGAAGGGAATGTGGTTTTGTGCGGTGTGCCGGGCCGTTCAGACTGTGCCAGCGGACGAGTTGAGCTGTAGGTGTTTTTGCGGCCAGGTGGAGGATCCGTCAACCGATTCATCAACGGCTATTGCGCCTCATTCTTGCGGCAGGACCTGCAGAAAGCCGTTGGATCGAACGAAGGATGGAGCATCAGCAGTTCATGGCAATCTGTTGCCCTCAGCAGCGGAGGTGGATTCGTCAGGGAAGAGAGGTTACCGTTGCCCTCACGTCTGCACTCTGAAGTGTCATCCTGGACCTCATGCTACTTGCACCGCTCTGGCACCTCCGGTGCTATGTTATTGCCGAAAGAGTGAAATCACCTGTAAATGCGTAGATTTTGGACGGCAAGAGAGGAGTTGCGGGGCGATCTGCATGCGCGAGATGCCCTGCGGGCGTCATATATGCCCTCGGGTCTGCCATGACGGTCCGTGCGGTGCTTGCGATGCGAATGTCAAGGTGAGATGCTTCTGTGGCAAACGGGAGGAGATGTGGGCGTGCGGTCGCGTGGAGACTCGAAGAGAGGAACTGCTCTTGCCTGCCATCGGAGGAAGGGGACTGTACTCGTGCCAGGAAAGGTGCCTGAAGCTTCTGGACTGTGGCAAGCACCGATGCGAAAGCATATGTCATGCAGGGCCTTGTGGAGACTGCAAGCTTCTGCCGGCGGTGTTGCGCAATTGCCCTTGTGGCAAGGTGCAGATAGAAGTGCTTCTTGGGGGAGCAGAGAGAAAGGGTTGTCTGGATCCCGTGCCTACTTGTGGTGCTGAGTGTGGGAAGTTGCTGCCTTGTGGCGAACACAATTGCAAACAGGTCTGCCATACCGGTGCTTGCCCCCCATGTGAAATGCCGGTGGAACAGAGTTGTTGTTGTGGGTCGGTGGTCCGCAGTATGCCGTGCTTCCAGTTTGGCCCGGCATGTGGAAACGGACCTGCTGGAACAGACATCGGGCGCAGTGGCGACAGCAGCCAAAACCGTGGAAAGACGATCGGTGTTTTCACATGTGACCGCAGGTGTGGGTTGTTGAAGAACTGTGGGAAGCACGTTTGCTCTATGGTATGTTGCGTCTCCGTTCAGCAGCAGACACAGGGGACCTTGTCAGCTCTCTCGGTGCCTGATGTCGCAGCCGATCCGGTACGGGTAATGCGAGTAGATCCTCATGTTTGCTTGATTGCATGCAGCAAGAAGCTCCAGTGTGGCCGCCATACGTGCCAGAAACTCTGTCACCCTGGAGACTGCCCACCGTGCATGGATTCCATCGCAACAGAGCTCAAGGTGCGCTCCCCTCTGATCTCCGCTCTCTCCTGCCTTCTCAAATAAAAATGATCCGTTTTTGTTTAATCTTCCAAGATCGTGCCTCTTGTCATCAAAACCTGTTTCAACTGAGAAAAGGGAAAAAAAAAAGATTGTGCCTCTTCAGATGATCATTGATGGATTCGAACCGGGTTCAGTTTGTTTGTTTGTTTGTTTGTTTGTTTGTTTTTTCTTTTTTTTTTTTTTGAACCGGGTTCAGCAGGAAGCAAAAGATTAGTCTGTTCGTCTGTCAACCATGTGAAACTATTATGTAGCCTAATGTATGGCGTGCTACCGCCTTCCCCCGAACACAACGCACCCTCTATTTGGCTGAACCTGACCAGAGATATAGGTTGTGTACGGTCATTATCAGGGTGCGTTATGTTCGGGGGAAGACGGTAGTTGGTCGAGTGTGAAATGCTGCTGAATGCCTATTTGTAGCGACCTGGCCCTTCATAAGCTGAGTATGTCAGGTCGCTACAAAGTACTCTTCCCCTCTCTCTCTCTCTCTCCCCCCCCCCCCTTTCTTTGTCAACTTTCCCTGGTATCTGGGTGGTTCGATGTGCCGAGCGACCCGGTGTTGGGTAATTGTTGTTTTTTTTTTTTTTTTTTTTTTTTTTTTTTTGGGTTATTTTGACCATTTTTAAAAAAAAAAAAAAAAAAAAAAAATTGTGACCATTCGTTAGAAGGTGCAGACGCGTCTTGTATATGGATGGTGTTCTGTCTTCTGGGATTAATGAGTCTGTTGCTCTCTTCCGTTGTTCTCTGACTGCGCCGCTGTGTGCATAGCGGTAGTCGAAGAGGGAAGTCGATGAATTCCTAATTGCGAATCTACCCCTGAATCTTAGATACTTGGATGAACGTACGAGAACCTGTGTCATTTGCGTGCCCTACCGAACGGAATGCACCTTTTCGCTGTTTTTTTTTCCATAACATGGCTTGAGGGGGGAACTATCTGAGGGCAAAGGACCTTGCCGCACCACTCACCGAAGTTGTCTTTTTCACATTTGGTGAGCGGTGCGCCGAGGCCCATACTCTTTTTTTTTTCTGATTTTTTCTTTTTTTTGCGAATAACGCCGCAAAAGGCCCGGAATCACAGTTTTTGCCTATTTGAGTGTGTCGAGAGTTTGTGTTCGCATTGGCTTCAGGGCCTACCGTAGTTGCACCACTTGCCATCTGCCAGAATGTTGACTGAATCTGAACGTCGGATTTGTCCCGATGCATGCAAAATGTTGGCCCATGATGAGTGGTGCATCTTGGCCCTCATTCCTGATCTGAGGCGAGCTGGTGGATTGTCGTTATTCACCTGCACATTGTTTGTAATTGCATTAACTTTTTGGGGATGCTATCTTTATTGTGACTGACTGTTGTGCCTTCTGGCTGTGCTTCGTGTGCAGTGCGCATGTGGGAAAAGCGTGATCCCTCCCCCGGTCCCATGTGGAACTCCCTTGCCTGTGTGCTCTTTCGAATGCCCTAAGCCCCAGCTGTGCGGTTGTCCTCCAAACCATGCCTGCCATTCCGGCGATTGCCCGCCGTGTACGCTTGCAAGCCATTGCCACCAGAGTCTTGAAAGGGATGAACAACCTTGCATTTCAGAGAATCATGCAGAATCAGTACAGACTGAGGCCCGAGAGGAGTCGGCAACACGCACCGTGGCGGAGACCCTTGCAGGACAAGAGACCCCTAAACCGGCACAACTTGCTGGGCCTCAAGAGGTTTTGGAGGGTGCTATTTCTGAGAACAGAGGGGTGATCGTGGAGAGCTCGGGAGGAGAGCACGATACTGATGTGGTGCAGGAGCAGCAGGAGCAGCAGGATTTGACTGATGCAATTCATGTCACCTCCAACGGGTTGGTGACTCCGGTGGGCTTGGCACGACGTCCCAGCTTTAAGAATGCGTTATTGGGAATTGACGACAACGGAAATTGAGGGGGAGGGAGCAATGGAAGGGTGATGGTAGCAGGCTCATCCTTGCCTTTGTAAGAAGGCAAGTGCGAGATGAGTAGCTTTGCCACATTTTGACAAAGGAGCTGCAGCGGTCCTGAGGGTTCACAGGAGAGCGATTGGGTGTACGGTGGTCGTGTTATGTCTCTGTGTGGAATATCGGTTGAGGCGGGAAAAGACAAGTTTCCTGTTGGGTGTGTCATCCATGTGGGCGAAAGCGAAATCAGCGCAACCATGGTTCGTGTGTTGGGGGTTGGAATCCTCCCCCCCCCCCCTCCCCTCCCCTCCCCTCCGAACAAGGAGAGGGGAGGGTGCACAGCATCAGGAGGGCATGGGGAGGCTTTGCTAACAAAGTGGGCGAAGGGAATGAAGAGGGAATGCTCACGGGTACCTCGGGATATGTGATTGCTGGGGGGAAAGGAGAGGGAATGCTCACGCGTGTATTCCACACAGCAGAGCTTAAGAGAACCACCCTGGCAAGTGATGATTTCTGCTGTCCTTGTCCCAGCTTCTGGATGCACTCTGTGTTTCAACTTTCAACTCTAAATGTCATCAAGTCCTGATTTGGCAAGGTGTGAGAGGACGGGCATCAGATGATTGTCGGTAGGTATCAGGAGTGGTTGGCGTAAACTTTAAAGCTGGTGACTGAAGCACTTCTTCTTCTCAGACAGTCCAAAGGGAGATGGCAGAAGGGGGAAATTGCATTTATATCCTTTCTAGGATTTCTTGTTTCTTCTCAATTTGTCGTGGTGCTCCTTGACACGCGAGATTGACTTTCATCCTGTTCACTTCGTCAGCATCATCGTGATGAATGTACTTTTTAAGTTTTAGTGTTTAAGTTTTAACGACTATGATAATTGGTTTTGTTGTGACTGTGGCAACCTTGTAAAATTCAAGTAAAATTCAAGTCCAGGTTTTGTTGGAATCTGGTCCGCACGATGCACGACTTCAGGACGATTAGTGAGAGGGTTTTTCTAGTGTAGCCGAGTGAGGGTTTTTCTAGTTTAGGAGAGTGTTGAGGGTTTTTTTCTAGCCTAGCAGGAAAGGCTAGTTAGTGCTCCTCTTATCGGTTTTGTATTGGACCCGCGATCTGTTCCCTACACAGAGCCAGGCAATAGCGCTTAAGCTTCTAAACGTGTTGCTATTTTTTGGATGGGAAAAGAGTAGTTTAGCAGATGAATTGGCACTGTAGATCGGTAGATGACACTTGATGGTAGTGCTTCTATCCGTTGGGCAGACAGTAGATATTTTGTTGACTTCTTCTTTTGGTTGGCTGGCCTGTCACATTAGCTCTGTGTGTATTCATAAGAGAGGCTGTTCATTGATAAAGGTCGCCCTGCTGTCTGCACAGCTCCGGATGGGCTTCCTTTAGTGGCCGATATTTTTTTTGGCTTCCAGAATTGTATTTCTATGTCTGGTGGGAAGTGTGTATTGATCATTTATCTATCCCCATCCTGCTGCTGCTCAGATCCTTGCTGAGCCCGCCTGGTAATAATGGTGTAGATTTTGTAGACGTGAAAGGTGGGATATTTAGAGGACTTGAAAGCGCCATCATGGCTGCAGTAGCAGTATGGCTATGGAAGGTGTCGAACCTGAAGTGAAACAGGATGGGGGGGTAATCTTGTTGACGTCAAGCGTTTTTTTTTTGTTTTTTTTTTCTGTAGCTATCCCTTGCTCACAGGTGGCCTGTGTTGGCAAGGACCACATTGCACTTCAGGTCCGCGTGGAAAAGGATCGCTTTTAGTGTTTTTTTTTGAGAAGGATTGCTTTTGATCTGTTTTCTAGGATGTATCTTGGGATCCTTATGTGCGGGGTGCTGTGATTGGAGAAAAATAAAGGCGGTCGTGAAGACGCCATGGCTGTCTGTGCCACTGTCGTGGAGTTTTGGAAGTTGTGCATCCGTGAATCACCTTGCACTGGAGGCTTGTTGTGTTGCAAGGGATCCCTTTTGAAGTGGTTGTCCCTTGTCGTTGTCCTCGCCGGAAAGGGTTGCTTCTAATATCAGAAGAGACATCTGATATTGAGAGCATAATGCGCAAGGTGCTGTGATTGGACAGTGGAGAGGGGGAGGAGGAGGAGGGGGTGGGAAAGACTGTACAAGGCTCTGGTGGTCTTGTGGCAGTGGAAAAGGGTTCTATGCTTCAGTGACATGGCTCTAAAGCGAATGTTTTGCAATCTGAATCTCTTTTGGTTTGCGTTCACGTCTTTGAGAGCAAGTTTTTGAGTCTTCGTTTTCGTGCGTTATGATGTTGCCTGAACGGAGAAGCCCTTACGATTGGCAGTGGGCACATCATCGTCCATACGTGTGCTGGTCCTTGCTATATACGCTTGAACCTCCGTGGTGGCCTGAGAAGGCCTTTCAACTTGCGCTGGTGCAGTATGTGTTCGACTAAACGAAGCTGGCTTCCAAGTGGTGATGCATGCAGATCGCAGGTTCTGGCGTTTTTGGACTGCTTTTTCCTCTGTTCTTAGTGTTTTTGTCGATCTCCAAGGGTGTTGTACTCTTTCTAGGGATGACTTTCGTTGATTGCTTCACTGTTTTCGGAAACGATTGTATTGGCTAGTGGAACATGTTATGTGTTATGTGGATATCAGAAGCAGTAAGAGAAGTAGCATATGCAGAGAGAGAGAGAGAGAGAGAGAGAGAGAGAGAGAGAGAGAGAGAGAGAGAGAGAGGTGCCTGGGTTGTGGCTGAGAAAGTGGGACATGTAGTCTGTTTGCTACTCGAGTCTCGAGTGTGCGATTGCGGGAGTGTTGAGGAGATTGCAGGTGAGCTCTGGTGCCTGCTTGCTGGACTCTATCAGTGAAGGAATACATGGGAGTTTCAGTCCTCAGGCAACGAAAGGTATTAATATCTCCAAGTGCCGCTTGTGAGGGTGTGAATCAGGGTAACTCTCATCAGGGGCCAGGAGGTAGCAGCTGTGTGGTTTGGTAGAGCAGAGCTGTAGAGACTCTAGAGAGGGTCATGCTAGGTATTAAAATAGGTTTTCTCAACTTTTCTGCACTATGCGAGTAGGATGGCTGGGCACGCATTTTGAGAACGCAGGCACCAAAGTGTTGAAAACGTGGTAGTAGCTTCTGTTCGGGTGGCAGCCATGATGAAATGACCTGACCTGGTATTCTTTTTCTTTTTCGTCTTTTTTATTTGGTGTTTTGAACCGTTTTCTTATCATTCTTTGGGAGAAGCAAAGTACAGCTTGTCAGACATGAACGTAATGAGTCTGTTGGGGTCCTTTCCGGTTGTCCATGTATTCCCCCTGCTGAATCATTCTTGTTGTCAAACATGAACGTAATGTATGTGATGGGGTCCCTTGCTTGTTATGACGGTGTGTGTGTAAGCCACGTTTGAGTTGCAGTGACTTGGAAACTGTCGGAAGAGGTGGGGACCACATACAGCGTATGTGGGATGGAGTGCACGTGGTCTTTACCTTGCGGCAAGAGCGTTTAAATGCGCAGAGAGTCTTCATGCACGCCTTTTTTTTTTTTTTTTCGTGAATCCAAAGGGTGACGGCCTTGAGATATCATCATCATTCAGCTGACCGGGCTCAGGTAATTCAGATTTATGGTATTCTGTGGATCTGATTTTTTGCAACTGGATTCGAACCTGGGTCTGTAATTGAATAGTTCATGGGGTGGGCCAACTGAGCTAAGGTTACGAGATATGAAGAGACACATATCCAAGTGATTCGTCACAGATGCACAATGCGCTCATGCATATGACACCATGGACACACACCACGCAATGATAACACAGCAACAAAACCACCCAATTTCACTTTCCAGAAAGAAGCGGATCCCGGACCGGTGATCGTCATCAGGGGGTTTCTTCCACCTACTTTCCCCACATCACTGCCTCCTCCAACCCTCCTCATCCGGAGTGCCGCCTGCCCCGTCGCTCCCGGAAAAGGGTCTGTAGTTCAATAGTTCACGGGGTGGACCAACTAAGCTACGGGTAGTTGTGTTGGGGTCTAATGCGAACTTTCACTCGTAAACCACCAGTACTTGGCCCATCCATCTGCCGCGGGCGTTTCACGACCCGCGGGCTTCGGGGTTCCGGACCACAATGGCTGGAAGCGCCAGGCGAAAAGAAAACGAAATGGCAGCCCGGCGGTTCGGCAAAATGTGAAGCGCAGGGGGTTGCCTGGCTCGGCATGGATAGCTAAGCGAAGTACTGGTGGTTTCTGTGGGCCCACGCATGTCCTCCTCCATTGCACTGCCGGGCCTTTCCCGAACCCCGAAAACTGTGGCACGTTAACGTGGAAGGCCCGCGGCCCATGTATGGGCCGAGTACTGGTGGTTTAAGGGGCATGCTCTCAGTGACTCAATCCCCCGCACTTCGCATCTTGTGTTAAGTTGTGTAGCCTTGGTGCTGCCTGGTTTTTGAAGAAAATACTTTCTTGATCTTTAAGAAATGAAAAGAAAAAAAATACGTGTTCTGATTTTCATGAGTCTTCAGTTTATGGGCCTCAGTGTATCCCCCTTTTCTTTTCCTTTTTTTTTTTTTTGGGAAGAAAGACTGCTTATTCGTCGTTATCGAAGTTAATAATCAAACAGAAATTGAGGCGAGGAACTCTGCGACAACCAACCTGGAGCATGGTTCCACTAGCAACGGGATAGGATAGAAAAGAGTTTGTGTGGCAGCTGAGTGACCCAAATCCTGCGGTGCACTACTCGTGATCCGACGGTCAGTACTTCACATGTATTACAAGAAAAAATAGGGAGATCTTCGTTCTCCTCCTCTTCTCCTTAACACTGGGCATGCCTGTGCAAAGGAAGCTTACGGCCAAAATCTTTTCAATCAGTTGGGGGTATGGCCAATCCCAAAATAGGGTGGGATCAGCCGAAGGCCCACTGGATAAAAGATTTTCAGTATTTTGCTTGCGGTTGTGCAATTATCACTGCTGACAGAAATTGAGTTTATTGAACTTTATTCCACAAAATTGTGGCAGTTACTTTGTTCACTGTTGTTGCCACCACCACCATCAGATTGCGATCGGATGGCTGGGAAGCAATCTGCCGTTATTTGCGGTGGGAGGTCTCTGTTTCTTTAGTTTTTTTTTTTGCTTTTCTCCTGTTTTC